TTCAGTCTCCTGTGTGTGTTAGATTTTCTAGCATCAGGATCCAAGAATTATTATCTGAGAAATTAATGAAAAAGTTGAAAAAAGATCCAAACCCTGATACTCTAAGTAATAAAATACATACTGTGTGTGTGTGTGTGTGTGTGTGTGTGTGTGTCCTACAGAGGAGTGTATTCACTGCAGTGGTGAGAACTACAGAGGAAAAATCTCCACCACTGAAAACGGCTTCACTTGCCAGCGCTGGGACTCCCAGGCACCTCACAACCACGGATACTTCCCCAGCGCGTAAGACCACACAACCTACACCTGAATTTACGAATCAACCATCAGCAGGATTTACTGAGATTCAATTCACACACACACACACAAGAGATTTTCTAAAGAACACAGTCCTATTCGATCTTTTTCTGCAGCCTCCCAGAAAAGTATCTTGAAGAGAATTACTGCAGAAACCCTGATGGAGACCCCCAACCCTGGTGCTTCACCACCAGTCCATCCAAGAAGTGGGACTTCTGCTCCATCCCCCGCTGCAGTAAGTCTTCCTCTGTTTCTATTTTTAAAACAAGGATTAAGAACGATGAGTAGATTCATTGATCAGTACATAAAAAAATCTAATTATCATTTCTCAGGTAAAAGTTTAGTGTTTTAACCATTAGTCAATTAATGATGAAATGGACTTTAAATATAATACAGCTGTTTCTAGAAGACAATAACTGACACGGTGTCGACATTTCAAACTGTCCTCAGCCTCTGAGCCTCCCACCATTGTGCCGGAGCTGACCTGTGCCACAGGTGAGGGCGGAGCCTACCGAGGCACCGTAGCTGTGACCGTGTCCGGCAAAACCTGCCAGAGCTGGTCGGCCCAGACGCCACACAAACACAACCGCAGCCCAGAGAACTACCCCTGCAAGTACGAGCTCACACTAACGACATAACAACCACAAACGAGTCGCACAAACAAAACGAATAAAGAAGTTCAGATGAGAACATGACATTCTTCCCGGTGACGGCATATTTATTTGTCAGAGGCCTGGATAACAACTACTGTCGTAACCCTGACAACGAGAGGATGCCCTGGTGTTACACCACCGACCCCGAGACTCGCTGGCAATACTGCAAGGTGCCGAGCTGTGGAGACGCACCCGGACCAGGTACCAGACATCAGCAAACTGAGTTACATAGCACAACTGTTTGGTGATGTAATACAACTTATAGCAGTGGTTCTGTGGGATGATTTCAATAAATCAATCACTATTCGGAGAACAATTAAAAATACAATATTTTAGCCACAATTGTTACAGAAGTGAAGAAGACTTTTGGGGTTGGGGCTGAAAGTTTTGTGAATCCCTGATTTTCTGAAGTAATGATTAATGGAAGCTAATGGACAAAAGATGAAAACAATAATGTGGTGAGACAAAGGTGTTTGAATTAATGAATTCCACTGTTAAATCTGAATGTACCTCAGTTTACCTCAATGCAACCTGTATTCTCGTCTCCCTCAGACGAGCCCATGATCCCCCCTGAGGAGGGGGAGGACTGTTACGTGGGGGATGGGTCGAGTTACCGTGGCGTCACATCAGAGACCATCAGTGGAAAGAAATGTCAAAGCTGGCACTCCATGAGTCCTCACAGCCACACAAAGACTCCACAGACGTACCCCACAGCGTGAGTCTGTCAGTTACTGTCCAGTTCAAGCTGAGAGAAGGTTTTAGTGGCAAACAATGAATAAGTGTTTTCACAAATCATTTGAAGACTGTAGAACCCGGAGGCTGCCCTGTAAATGGTTCAGTTTCAGAGGTCTCGTCATTTTCACAACTCCGTGCCGCTCAACGCAGCGGAATGTGTCCGAGAAGTCAGACTGAATCAGAGAAAACGAGTCTCATGCTGGAGAAGCCAAAGTGGCTCAGACCCACAGCGAGCTACATGTGACTGGCGTGTTGGGTTGTCACATATGTGATGAATGACGTGTGAGGATCAGCCAACGAACACAAAGGGTATTGGTACTTGCTGTTCTGACGTTCCAGAGTTTCTCTTTTCACAGGGACCTCACGAGGAATCTTTGCAGGAACCCAGACGGAGACCGAGCTCCCTGGTGTTACACAACAGACCCTAGTGTCCGTTGGGAATATTGCAACTTGGAAAAATGTCCCATCATTTCTTCAGGAACGCCACCACCCAAACCCGCTGTACCCCAAACCCCTTTCACCGTCACCCAGGCCCCAACGGTGAAAGGTCATTTACCTTGAACGTCAGAGTTTGAGATTTCTTGTTTATATTTTAAAATCCCATACTCACCCCCTGGTTTCTCTTTGTGCTGCCATGTCAGACTGTAAGATTGGAAATGGAGGAACATACCGAGGTTCCACCTCCGTCACTCTCCTGGGTGTGACCTGCCAGGCCTGGAGCGCTCAGAGTCCTCACCAACACAACAGCTTCACCCCACAGACCCACCCCACCAAGGGCCTGGAGGGAAATGTAAGTGTGATGCATTCACACCCGCAGACGTCTCACTGTTGAGATGAATGTGGACAGCCGGAAAAGTCATGATGGCATTTTCTGATGAACTGATCCTTGTTTGTCACAGAGCTGCAGAAACCCAGATAACGACGTGAACGGGCCGTGGTGCTACACTACCGACATCAACAAGAAATGGGACTACTGTGAGATCCCTGACTGTGGTACGTGAACATTATTTGCGTCTCTTGGGCAGTTTGTTCCAGATTTGTCCCAAGTGATCACAGTAACCGCTGGAAAGATCGCAATGACATTTTTTTAATGGTTTCCTCGCTGATTGATTATTCTGCTAATGATAGAACATGATGACCATACATCTGTACAATCAGAACGACCTAAAGGGTCTGTGACCTATACTGTAACTGGCCGCCAGGGGGCGATACCGCTGACTTCTAGTTAATCTTTACATAAAACTTAACAATTTCCTCCCAACTAATGGTAAAGATTCAGTCACAATCAGTTTTTTTCTCCATCCAATACTAAATAACAGCTGGACTGAACTGCGGTTCACCATTGACCAAACCCAGGCGTTGTTTCGGTCGTATTGTCGGAGGCTGCGTATCTAAAGCTCACTCGTGGCCGTGGCAAATCAGCCTCAGGACCAGGTGAGTACACCAAATTATTATCACAGAAGACCAAAAAATTACGTAATTATACCGTTCACCTTAAATCTATTATCGTTTGTCTCTCTTTAGCATTTCACGAGATCATTTCTGTGGCGGAACTCTGATCGACCGTCAGTGGGTCCTCACCGCTGCACACTGTCTGGAGAGGTCAGGGAGACTCCGAAACATCGCAAGACCAAATCCTGCCGTAAAACAACCACTGGCTAACTGGTGTGTGTGTGTGTGTGTGTGTGTGTGTGTTGGTGAATGTTATGAACCGTAGGTCCAAGCGGCCTGAAGCGTACCTGATTATCCTGGGAATCCACACCGAGCGAGCCAACGAGCCGTCCAAACAGGAGAGGAGGTTGCAGAAACTGGTGCTGGGACCCAACGGAGCCGACATCGCTCTGCTCAAACTGGAGAGGTGAACACAGGACTGATCATCGCTCCACCACAAATACACAAATGCTGCAGCTACTTCTCGTTTACCGCTTCTGCAGATACAGCACAACTAAGTGCTTGTGGCACTTTAACAATTCAAATTTAGGGCTGAAAACATAAGAGTGTAAATAAAGATGGACCCACTTGCAGTAAGGAGCCATGCCGGTGGGTTCCCACTGATATATACGAGCTCAACCAATCAGGAGTCAGTCTCAGCAGTTAATCAGGATGTTGGTGGGGCTTATGACCTATACGGCAGCCAGCCACCAGGGGGCGATCGAGGAAAAAAAAGATGAACTTTGATCGGAGTAAAAATTCTGTTAATGTTTCATTTACTAACTAAATCGGTTGAGTTGAAATGATCCAGACATAAATTTACACTTTATTTAAAATGCACATGAATTAAAATTCGTACTTGAGACGAACGTATAAACTTTTAAATGATTAACCAGGATATAAAATAATCTTCACTGTTTATTGAGAGTGACGTTGTGTTTTCAGTCCGGCTCTAATAAACGACAAAGTCCAGCCGGCGTGTCTCCCAGAGAAGGATTTCATCGTCCCCAGTGGAACCGAGTGTTACGTCACTGGATGGGGTGAAACTCAAGGTACAGAATGTGTTTGTGCTGCTGCCCATGTGGGGACCTGCTCGAGTTTTAAACACACTGAGGTCAGTGTTTGGAACGTGGCGAAGTTTTCGTTCTCACTACTTCAAAAGTTTAGTTTTAAAGTTTTACCTCATTTTGTGTCAAACTGAAGCTGGTTACAGTTAAATCTATTTAATTTCATTGATTTTGTTTTGGACCTTGAAGTGTAGGAATTATAGATTTCCTAATTAGTAATAAGATCCAAAATGCTTGATCACATAATTAATTTGTTTTTTTACATTTAATGCGTTGATTTTTAATATATCCTGAAAGACAAATACAAATGGTGGAAAACAGCAAGGAGGGGTGTGTTGCAGGTACGGGGGGTGAGGGCATCCTGAAGGAAACTGGTTTCCCAGTGATCGAGAACAAGATCTGTAACCGTCCGTCGTATCTGAACGGACGAGTCAAAGACCACGAGATGTGCGCTGGAAACATCGAGGGAGGAGCCGACAGCTGCCAGGTACCGAACCAGAAAACATCGTGTCTTAAACACTTTATTCTGCTGGGCTGTAAGGACTTTTAGAATTTCCCCTTAACATAAAAAACCACCTCAGTTCTTTCGAGAAAGGAAGGAAGGAAAATATTATATAAAAGCATCAGAGAATAGATGATTCTGTGTTCACCTCCAAACTACATCCTCTAAGTCACTTCTCGTCTAAAGACTTCAAACTGTTCTTCCTTCCTGTCTGACTGAAGTTGAAACCGTGGTCACGTGTTTGTTTGTCTCCGCAGGGCGACAGCGGCGGCCCTCTGGTGTGTAACTACCAGAACAGGTACATCCTGCAGGGCGTCACCTCCTGGGGTCTGGGATGCGCCAACGCCATGAAACCCGGCGTCTACGCTCGAGTTTCCAAGTTCGTGGACTGGATCGAGAGAACCATCGCAGCCAATTAAATATAAAAACCAAACTCTCCTCCCAAACAGCTTCAAACACGTCACAGACAGAGGTCGATTTTAGATTTTTGAAGATGTGTTTGTTCTGTTCTGCTGCGATGTGACATTTGTTGTTTGGTATTTTCTGATGTTAACAAAGTGTCACTGGAGCTAAAGTCAAATTAAACCAATCAGCAAAGTCCTGGTTTTAAAATGTAAACATGTGTTTTCTGTCAGAGCTGAAAAATAAAACTTGATACAAAGGAAATGTGGAAGTCACACTTTATAGAAATTGTATAAAAAAAAAAAATACTTCCTACATTTTATCAACATGTCAACATGTTGCTGCACAACAAAATGTACACACACACACACGGACACACAATCACACACTTGTTGTTTCCTTGTTGCTCGTCAGGTCGGATTTTAAAAGTGTCTTTGTTTGTTGGTTCTCCAGAGGATTCTCCTTTTTTCTGGAACCAAAAACCAACATATCTTATTAATGTAATTTGATTTGACAGAAGTGTTTGGAGTGATTCATTTCCTCCATGTTTTGGAGAAGTCTCTCACCTGTGAGGAAACTCGATGTCGTCGATGGACTCCGGCAGAGGAACTCCTCTGGTTTCTGGAAGCAGCAGAACCAAACCTCCGGCCATGAACGCGACGGCTCCTGAGAAACAACACGAAGATTTAACGCTGAAGCAAAGTTGAAGCTTCGCTAGGTCAGTTTTTTAAAATCCAGTGAGCCCTTCCCCCGATTGTTAAGAAGCTGAACGTTCCCCTTTCCCCCGTGAAACGAAAATCTAAAAGAAAAGCTACCGAAGATGATGAGTGGCAGCTCCAGCCAGATGACAGCCAGCCTGTAGAGCAGGAACGGAGCCACGATGCCGCCAACGTCACACAGGGTGGAACAAACCGACACTCCCAGGTTCCTGCACACACACACGAAAACACTTCAGCTTCACCATCAGCACCAGAAGCCGAGGCGATGGATCGGACCTCACCTGACGAACGTCGGGTAGAGCTCGGTGTTCACGAACACGACCATCTCAAAGGCCATGGTGATACCGAGCCGACCGACGCAGGCGACCGCCGTCTTCCACCAGAACATGTCTGAACCCCACAAGAGCATAAGACTGTGGTCACGATATGAAGTTTACTGTCTACATATCGAGCTTTAACATAGAAATGAAACGTATAATTTTACCGTAGACAGTAAAGGTTGATCGTTTGAATATGTTATTACTGTAAAATACATGACGGAGAACTTTTGGAACCCTGCAGTTGTCATAAAAACTCAAAAGGTTAAATTCGTCCAGTCTGAGCTACGGTAAAAAACATGGCTGCCTCCGAAGAGAGGACCCACTCCTGATATAAACTATTTAAATATAAAGAGCTCATTCTAAGTTTCCTCTGTCAGAAGCAAGAAAAGGACAAAACAGAATCAATTTTTCTCACGGTCGGGGATAAAGGCCGTGACGAAGCAGGAGGCTCCGGCGACGATGTTGGCGGCGGCGAAGGGAAGACGCCTGCCGACGCGTTCGATGGTGAAGAGGATGAGGAAGGCGGCGGGGAACTCCACCAGTCCTGAGATGAGGAAGTCGATGTAGACGTTTCCTCCGGCGATCCCCACCCGCATGATGAGGCCCTGATACACCACAGCACTGGTGAACCTGCAGAGGTTCAATGAGACTCAGCGTCTCCCGGGTTCAGGTGGTGAATCGTGATTTCACAGAAAGTCTCACCAGTTGAACATGAGGATGAAGGTGTGTTTCCTCATGTTCGGAGTTCTGATCAGGTCCAGCAGCGAGGCGGAGGAGGAGTCGCCCTCCTCACAAGACAGCGTCTGGAACAAGAAGCCGTGACAGGAAGTGATTTCACTGCAGATTATGAAACAGACAGAGGACATTTAGCTGAAAGCTGCTCGACGGATCCACCTCGAAGGTCCTGGTGAGTTTCCTCTTGTTCTCCTCGGCCATGGCCTCAGTGATCTCCAGAGCTTTGGAGGAATCGTTCTGGGAGACGAGCCACCGAGGAGACTCTGGGATGAACCTGAACCACACAGAGAATCTCTCTCACCAACACATCTGCCGCTAAAGGAAACTTTACTAAACTCTTTCTCAGCTGATGATTTTATGAGTTTATTAAACTAAGTCCTTCTCAAACACACAAAACGACAACATGTAAATATAAAGTTTGTCACCAGTAGTACGACAGGAAGAGGACGTAAGGTGCAGTGATGACGGCCTGCAGCCAGCGCCAGTCGGTGATGAAGTAGGCGAGCAGCGGGAGGAGGAGGACGCCAACGCTGAAGAACATCTGGTACAGAATCCCCACCGTCCGTCTGTGCTCCACTCCCACGATCTCCGTCACTGACAAAGAAGACGATGAGGACAAACGAGCGAAAAGAAAAATGTATCATCACTTTACTGAACTCTGTCAAAAGCTTCAAACAATTCCACGTTATTTATCTTTTACTTTTATAATCTTATTACAGTATTTGTGGTATTGGTTTTTCTCACTTCCAACATTTTTTAGTCTTTTGTGAATTTGTTAAATTCACAAATGGCTTCTTGCTTGGGTCGTGCGCCACCCCTCCGAAAAAATCTCATGGAAATCAAACTACCAGACGAAAACACAACGTCCTTGGTGGAGGAAAAAGTTGAAATTCATCCAGACACTGAGACAAATATCTCTTAAAATATCTCTGGTTTATCTTTGAGCAACACATGAATTCAAATGTCTGAAATCTGGCCTCAGTAAATATCTGTTGTGACAAGAGAAAAAAAAAAACCTTGGAAATGTTTGTTCCAGAGCGGAACACAAAGTTCTTCGTGACTTGTGAGAAGCACAAAACTTAAATATTACTGATCAACCAACAACATGATACAATACTGCAAAACCTGCAGTATTGTATCTACAACATCTAGAAGATTTAACTTTGGATATTTGATTGAGAGTCGTTACGCAGCACGTAGGACGTCATCCAGCCGCCTTTGACTCCAAAGCCGAAGACGGTCCTGAACGCCAGGACAGAGACGTAGTTGGGAGCCACAGCCAGCAGGAGCCCCGCGATGGCGTTCAGGACGTTAGACATGAGGAAACTGATCTTCCTGCCAAACCTGCGGACAGAGAGAAAACATCAGGAGCGTTAACAAGAGGATGAACGTTTGATGTCACTGACTAAAATAGTCATGCTAATGGAAAGAAGAGCTAAAAGAAGAAACCGTGAGCCACCAATCTCTGCAAGTCCCACCACCTAAAGGTTCCAGTACTTTCGCAGTAGTGCTTCCCCTGAGGAGGTATTTTTAGCTTAATGTAGACCCTGGTCCCTTATCCGATTTTCTCTGTGTGACCGTCCGATCTGTTGGGACCTCACCTGTCAGCGAAGTATCCAAAAGCGAAGCTGCCGGCGAGGAAGCCCACGTTGAGACTGGACTGGTACATGTCCACCAACCACCCGTCCTCACACACCAGGTCAAACTGAGAGCAAAGGTTTACATGGGATTATGTATGAGACTGATTTGATTTGTCGGTTCAGTTTTGGAGTGAATTTAAATCAACTGTCACCTCTGTGACGAAGGACTTCCTCCCTTCATACTGATACTCCCACGAATCCTGAAGGACAAGGAGCCAACATGGTGATCAGTGCAGATGGAACCAAACTGAGGAAGGAGCTTTCGACCTGATGCTCCGTCCCTCTCATCACAACCAAAAAAATTATGCCTGTGACATCTTGAAACTCCGTGCACCCCACTGCCCAGAGAGCAGGCGACTTTTAGAAGTTCAGGGTCAGAGAAGGAGACGTTACTTGAAATGCAAAACAACAAACAAACACCAAATAACACTCATCGATATCAGTCTCGCTAATTTGCCTGATTTGTTTAATCAAATTCCACGAATCATTATCTGGGAAATCAAACCTGTGAACGTTACAGAAAGTTAAAAGAAAATTCGTTTAACGACCTCTTCCCTGAACCAGACAACATCTTTTCTGCAGGTTCCACTGGGTCTGTGTTTAATCCTGCTTGTAAAAAAACAAACAGACGTGTGAAAACACAAAGTTCCTCGGTGGAGGTAAAGATTTACAATCTCACCTTGCACAAGGACACAGGGACTCCACTGAGGTCCAGCTCCTGAGAGTCGCAGGTGAGTGAGGTTCTGTTCCAGTCCAGCTCGTACTGCTCGCAGCTGCTCTGCTGCACGGCTCCAGAGCTGTTGACCGGCGGCAGCGTCAGCCTGCGACTGTCCGCCAGGCTCCAGCCGCACGCCTGCCTCCTCTCCACCACCGCAGCGTCCCGACACCAGTGGTCCGGCGTGAAGCCCTGGAACACGATGCCCACGTACACGCCTGCAAAAGGCAGCGACAGCAGACAGAGCAGAGCGAAGATTCTCTTCTGACAGCGGCCGAACGTGCCGGCCTCCTCCAGCAGGTCATCGAAGGTCGCCATCGCTTTGATCCAACTCTC